GATTCTCCTGCCTCAGTCTCTCGAGTAGCTGGGATTCCAGGCATGCACCACCATGCCCAGCTAATTGTGTATTTTCAGTAGGGATGAGGTTTCACCGTATGGGTCAGGCTGGTCTTGAACTCTTGACCTCAGGTGATCTGCCCACTGAGGCCTCCCAAAGTGCTAGGATTACAGGCATGAACTACCATGCCCAGCCCTTTTCTTTCTTTCTCTCTTTCTTTTTCTTTTTTTTTTTTTTGAGACAAGGTCTCACTCTGTCACCCAGGCTGTAGTGGCATGATCTCAGCTCACTGCAACCTCTGCCTCAAGGGTTCAAGTGATTCTCCTGCCTCAGCCTTCTCAGTAGCTGGGATTACAGGCATGTACCACCATGTCTGGCTAATTTTTGTATTTTTAGTAGAGTCGGGGTTTCACTATATTGGCCAGGTAGGTCTCAAACTCCTACCTCAAGTGATCCACCCACCTCAGCCTCCCAAAGGGCTGGGATTGACGGTGTGAGCCACCGCACTCGACCTTCCTATGACAGATTTCTATGCCAAGTTTCTCCCAAGAAACAGTCTGGTGCCTCTGAAGGCAGCCTTCAAGGAAAGCATGAGTTCCCCATTCTGATGCCTGCCGCCCCCTCTGCCCCCGCTGGCAGGAGACAATGGATGGCGGGGGCCCCATCTCAACTTCTCCGCTCTGTTTTCTGCAGGGGGCAGTAACAGCCATGACCAAAGCCTTGGCCTTGGATGAAAGTCCTTACGGTGTCCGAGTCAACTGGTGAGCTGCTCTGAGCAGGCCGAGAGCCTCCTGGGGGAAGTGGGATGACTGGGAGTGATCCCAAGTGACTGGAGACAGATTTCTTTGATCCTCTCTCTCCCTTCCCCCAGTATCTCCCCAGGAAACATCTGGACCCCACTGTGGGAGGAGCTGGCAGCGTCAACGCCAGACCCTAGGGCCACAATCCTAGAGGGCACGCTGGCCCAGGTAGGAGTGGGGTTCAGATCCAGGTGGTAGAAGGTGGCTTGGGGGTGGGGAGCATGGCGATCAGGTGGGGCTCCTCTTGACCCCTGACCTCTTTCTTCCCTCTTTTCTCTCCAGCCACTGGGCCGAATGGGCCAGCCCGCTGAGGTGGGGGCCGCGGCAGTATTCCTGGCCGCTGAAGCCAACTTCTGCACTGGCATTGAGCTCTTCGTGACAGGGGGTGCAGAGTTGGGGTATGGGCGCAAGGCCAGGAGGGGCACCCCCGTGGACGTCCCTGATATCCCTTCCTGATTTCCCACATTTCTTCTTGGGGCCGTCTCCCTAGGACTCTCCCACCTCAAACCCAACCTGTATCAGATGTAGCCCACAAGTGTTAGACTCGGAGCCTGCTTAGGAAGGTGCCAGGTCACCCTGCAGGTTCCCATAAAAGCGATTTGCAGCCAGAGGAGGAGGACATCGTTTATATTTATTTCCCACCCTGTAGACGAGTCCTTCTGCCCACTTGGCCCTGCACCCCAGGCCCACACGTGGCCTCGACTCTGAAGGACTGCAGCTCCCCGCGCTCCCAAACCCAGGCCTTGCAGCAGGCAGGTGCCTGATGTTGCTTGCCCTGTTGCTGTCGCCAGGAGCTCCTGGGAAAGGTAGAGCGGTTTGGCTTCACCAGCGCGCTTATTTTATTTTATTTATTTAGTTAGTTATTTTTGAGACGGAGTTTCGCTCTTGTTACCCAGGCTGGAGTGCAATGGCGCGATCTCGGCTCACCGCAACCTCCGCCTCCTGGGTTCAAGCAATTCTCCTGCCTCAGCCTCCTGAGTAGCTGGGATTACAGGCACGCGCCACCATGCCCAGCTAATTTTTTGTATTTTTAGTAGAGACGGAGTTTCACCATGTTGACCAGGACGGTCTCGATCTCTTCACTTCGTGATCCACCCGCCTCGGCCTCCCAAAGTGCTGGGATTACAGGCTTGAGCCACCGCGCCGGCCCACCAGCGCGCTTATTAAAAACCCGCAGGGGAGAGTAAATTAAGCGCTAATTAGGAGATAATGGAGGAGGAGACGCAAAAGGCCCTCCTCCTTATTCCTGGCCCTCGGGGAAGAGTTTTGCGCTCCGTGCCCGTGGAATTGGAAGGTGGCTGGGCGCGAAACATCCAGAGGGAAGAGAATGTCGGGGGTTCAGAAATCTGGATCAGAGGGAGAAGGGGCTGAAACTCCTGGGTTTGGGGTCTGTAGGGCACTAGGGGGCGCAGACTCCCAGGCTGGGTCCCGGAGGGGCGCAGGCCCGAGCGCGCCGGCGTCCCCCAGGTGAGGGGTGGAGCTACAGGGCTGCTGCGGATTGGCTGCGGCGGAGGGCGTGTGCAGCAACCGCTGATTGGCGGGGACGGGAGCTGCCCGTGGGCGCCACCCCTGCAGCCCGGGGATGGCGGGTGGGGCGGGAGGACCCGGGCAGAGCGCAGAAAAACAGGGCGACGCCCTGCGGGGGAAGGGTCCCGCGGTTTGGCTGCTCCGGCCTGCGACTGTTAGGGTTGGCGGGACAGTGGCCCGGGGACAGGGCCTGGGGACATTGTGGGGGTGGAGTTTGGGGACAGAGTGTCCCAGGGTACGATTGCCGAGAGCAATGGCCGAGGGACCCAATTTTTTTTTTTTGAGACGGAGTTTCGCTCTTGTTACCCAGGCTGGAGTGCAATCGCGAGATCTCGGCTCACCGCAACCTCGCCTCTGGGGTTCAGGCTCTTTTCACCCTGGCTGGAGCACAGTGGTGCGATCTCGGCTCTCCGCCGCCTCCGCCTCCCGGGTTCGAGCGATTCTCTTGCCTCAGTCTCCCGAATAGCTGGGATTACAGGCTCCCGCCAGTACGCCCGGGTAATTTTTGTGTTTTTAGTAGAGATGGGGTTTCACCATGTTGGCCAGGCTGGTCTCGAACTCCTGACCTCAAGTGATCCACCAGCCTCGACCTCCCAAAGTGCTGGGATTACAGGCGTGAACCCCTGCGTCTGGCCGAGGGACATGATTTTAGTGCCACAGTAACCCGAAAATTTTGGGGGCACAGTGACAGAGGGGCGGTGCGGCAGGTTTGAATTGCAAGAGGTCCGAGGCGTCCTGAAGGACTGTGATTGGCGAACTCTGCCTCTGCGGTCCTGGTGCTGGGGAGATAGATACTCGTGGAGGGATAACCAGGAAAACCCTGCGCTGGGGATTGTTCTTTGAGGCTCATTGATGAGTGTAGGATTGATAATTTTCAGGCTTCTCAGATGATAAGGGACTGGAAGATAGCCCTGGTGAATTGTGTGTGTTTTTACCTGTTAAAGAGTTTCAGGCCGGGCGCGGTGGCTCACACCTGTAATCCCAGCACTCTGGGAGGCCAAGGCGGGCAGATCACCTGAGGTAGGGAGTTCAAGACCAGCCTGACCAACATGGGGAAACACTTGTCTCTACTAAAAATACAAGATTAGTCGGGCATGGTGACGCATGCCTATAATTCCAGCTACTCGGGAGGCTGAGGCAGAAGAATCGCTTGAACCCAGAAGACAGAGATTGCGGTGAGCCGAGATCGTGCCATTGCACTCCAGCCTGGTCAACAAAAGCAAAACTCCGTCTCAAATAAGTAAATTAAATAGATAAATAAATAAACCTTTCAAAGAGTACACGTATGTCTTTTTTGTTGATACGAAAAAATTATATTTGAACAGGGCAGTATCCAGGCTGTAAAGTGAGGCTCCCCTTTATCCCTACCTGCGGCCTTCCTCAGAGGCCCTTCTCCAAAGCACCGTTCCAGTTCCTGTGCATTCACACGGTGTTCGCGCTCACTCATATGAAACAGAACGTCCTGCCCTTTGACTTTCCCTTCCTTTGCCTCTGGCTGCTTATGGTTGCCAGCGCTCCACGACAGGAAAATGCATTTTTGAAAACCGTTGCATGCCAGTTAGTACCTGGTTTCAGTGCGGCTGGAACACAGCCTGAGTGGGAACCGTATTTCTTTTCTTTTTTTCTTTTCTTTTTTTTTTTTTTTTGAGACGGAGCTTCACTCTTGTTACCCAGGCTGGAGTGCAATGGCGCGATCTCGGCTCACCGCAACCTCCGCCTCCTGGGTTCAAGCAATTCTCCTGCCTCAGCCTCCTGACTAGCTGGGATTACAGGCAAGCGCCACCATGCCCAGCTACTTTTTTGTGTTTTTAGTAGAGACGGGGTTTCACCATGTTGACCAGGATGGTCTCGATCTCTTGACCTTGTGATCCACCCGCCTCGGCCTCCCAAAGTGCTGGGATTACAGGCTTGAGCCACCGCGCCCGGCCCCTATTTCTTTTCTTTTCTTTCTTCCTTTCCTTCTCTCTCTTTCTTTTTCTTTCTTTCTTTCTTTTTTTTTTTTTTTTGAGACGGAGTTTCGCTCTTGTTACCCAGGCTGGAGTGCAATGGCGCGATCTCGGCTCACCGCAACCTCCGCCTCCTGGGTTCAGGCAATTCTCCTGCCTCAGCCTCCTGAGTAGCTGGGATTATAGGCGCGCGCCACCATGCCCAGCTAATTTTTTGTATTTTTAGTAGAGACGGGGTTTCACCATGTTGACCAGGTTGGTCTCGATCTCTCGACCTCGTGATCCACTCGCCTCGGCCTCCCAAAGTGCTGGGATTACAGGCTTGAGCCACCGCGCCCGGCCTCTTTCTTTATCTTGACAGAGTCTTGCTCTGTCACCCAGGCTGCAGTGCAGTGCCGCCATCTCGGCTCACTGTAACCTCCGCTTCCCGGATTCAGGAGATTCTCCTGCCTCAGCCTCCCGAGTAGCTGGGATTACAGGCACCCCCCCCCCCCACCCCAGCAGGCCCGGCAAATTTTTGTGTTTTTAGTAGAGATGGGGGTGTCACCATTTTGAACCAGGCTGGTCTCGAACTCCTGGCCTGAGGTGATCTTCCCGCCTTGGCCTCCCAAAGTGCTGAGTTAACAGACGTGAATCACCTCGCCTGGTCAGGACCGTATTTCAAGTCCTGAACCCCCCCAGCGCCTGCGTCCTGCAGCAATGTGGGGCGTCTGGTAAGCGGGTCCCGCTCCCCGCCGGCGCCCTGGAGCTGGGGCTGCCTGGCGGGCCTGGGGTGCTGGGCGTGCCGCCTACCCCTAGGAGGAGGCGTGAGCGGGGCGGGGCCGGAACGTCTCTCTTCAGGGCCGCGCCCCAGGAGGGCACAGTTACGCGCCGCACGGATCATGGCCGCAGCCGCTCTAGGGCAGGTGGGTTCACAGCCCGGCACCGGGGGGCTGGGGAACCTCCCGGAGAGGCGCACTTCCGGGAGCACCACTGGCCTGCAGCCGGTCTGACTCGGCGCCGCCCCTCCAGCGCTGGGGTTCCGCTACGGGGCGCGGAGGAGGATGGCGACCCTCGGAAAGGAGCACGAGGCTTTAATGGGGTGAGGGGGAGCGGGTAGACGCGGATGAGGTGGGGCAAGTGATTGTTGGGGAGGTAAAAAATGGGAAACATGGAGGGGGATCCTGTGAGGAGGGAGGCGTCGGGGTGGGAAAGTTGTGATTTGGAGAGTGGAGTCCTGGGGTGCGGTGGGGCATCAGCCTGTGGGGGCGCTGGAATTAAGGGGCCCAGACCTCCAGGGCCAGGGGCCGGTGAGGGCAGAGTTCCACCTCATGTCTCAGCTCTGGGAATTGGATCCAGGGTCCTATTTTCTTCTAAAGAAAGGTAAATAAAATGGAGATGGGGATTGTTGTGCTTCCCAAACTTGAAGCCCTGCACCTGGATTGGAAGTCGAGGCAGCGTCTCATGGTTAAAATGACATATAAATGCTGCAGGCCAGCTGAGATGTTCCCTTCTGACTGGGCGATGTCAAACAGCAGCAGCGTTTCCCAGAGTCTGTGATTTCAGAGAACAATGTTTCTCAGTGAGGAAGGAAACAGCTAAAGAACGGAGTGGTGGTTAGAAGCCTTCACAGCTGTGCTGTATGTAACCTTGGGAGAACTGTCTCTTTGTTAACTTTGCACCTAACTTTACTTGAGTCTCTTATCCCAGCTGATGAATGTCAGGGCAAAATTTCACTTTCTTCAGCTGTTAGTCACTGATGGGGATAGTCCTGGGATATCTGGGATATGTGGGCAATCTGGCCTTTGGTGGTGACACTCCTGGGCTGTAGTGGGACAGTCCTGGGCTTTGACAGGTACACTTGGGACTGAGGTGGCCAGTCTCATTATGGCACAGTTCGGGTGTCATGGAAGAGTCCTGAACTCATGATGGGACATTCCTGGGTTCCGGTGAAGACAGAGATATCCTGTAATGGAGATAGTTGGGCTGAGTCCTTAGCTATGATGGGGTGTGGGGAGGACGGTGCTGGACCATGGTAGGGACAGTTTCTAAGGGATTGGCCTAGACAGAGACATAGGGATAGTCCTGGGGATTGAAAAGGACAAGACTGGGTTTTGTTTTGTTTTAATTTCAGACCTGGTGAATAGGAAATAAGCCCTGGTATTTGACAGAGACAATGCTGGTTACAGTGGGGAAAAGTGCTGGGCTGTGGAGGGGGGATATTCCTGAGCTGTCTTGGGACAGTACTTGGCTCTGCTGGGGACCAGTTCTGATAAGTTATGGGCACAATCTGGGCTTGTGATGGGGGAGTGTCTTGGGCTGTCATAGAATAGCCCTGGTCTGTGATGGGAGAGGCCTGGGCTATAAAGGGGGCAGTTCTAGATGTGATGGGGTCTTTGTGGGCTGTGACAGGGGCAGACTGCGCTATGATGGGGTCTGTCCTGAGCTGTGATATGGGGACAGTCCTGGAGTATGGAGGGCATTGCTGGGTTTCGACAGGGACACTCCTGGTCTTTGGTGGTGATAGTCCTGGGCTGTATAGTAGAGGTTTTGTCACATTATAGATACCTGCCCTGTGCACCCCAAAACCTTTTTTTTTCTGTTTATTTTTGAGACAGTCTCGCTCTATCACCCAGGCTGGAGTGCAGTGGTGCGATCTCAGCTCACTCAGAACCTCCACTTTCTGGGTTCAGTGATTCTCCTGGCTTAGCCGCCTGAGTAGCTGGGATTACAGGAATGTACCAGCATGCCAAGCTAATATTTTAGTAGAGATGGGGTTTCACCATGCTGGCCAGGCTGGTCTAGATCTCCTGACCTCGTGATCCACCCGCCTCAGCCTCCCGGTGTGCTAGGATTACAGGTGTGAGCCACCGCTCCCAGCTTCTTTTCTTTTTTTTTTCTTTTTTTTTTTTTTTTTTTTGAGACGGAAGTTCGCTTTCGTTACCCAGGCTGGAGTGCAATGGCGCGATCTCGGCTCACCGCAACCTTCGCCTCCTGGGTTCAAGCAATTCTCCTGCCTCAGCCTCCTGAGTAGCTGGGATTACAGGCACCTGCCACCATGCCCAGCTAATTTTTTGTATTTTTAGTAGAGACGGGGTTTCACCATGTTGACCAGGATGGTCTCGATCTATCAACCTTGTGATCCACCCGCCTCGGCCTCCCAAAGTGCTGGGATTACAGGCTTGAGCCACCGCGCCCGGCCAGCTTCTTTTCTTTTTGACTAAGGTTTGCCCTGTCGCTCAGGCTGGAGTGCAGTGGCACGATCTCGGCTCACTGTAACCTCTGCCTCATGGGTTCAAGCAATTCTCATGCCCCAGCCTCCTAAGTAGCTGGCATCACAGGCACGTGCAACCATGCCTGGCTAATTTTTGTGTTTTTAGTAGAGACGGAATTTTGCCATGTTACCCAGGCTGGTCTCAAACTCCTGGGCTCAAGTGATCCACCTGTCTCAGCCTGTCAAAATGCTGGGATTGCTGGGGTCAGCCACCACGCCTGATCTTTCTTTTTTTTCTTTTTTTGAGATGCTCTGTCACTAGTGTTGGAGTATAGCAGTGTGATCACAGCTCACCACAGTCTTGACCTACTGGGCTTAAGTGATCCTTCCACCTCAGCCTCCTGAGTAACTGGGATTACAGGTGTGTGCCACCAAAGCTGGCTAATTTTTTTTTTTTTTTTGAGACAGAGTTTCGCTCTTGTTACCCAGGCTGGAGTGCAATGGCGCGATCTCGGCTCACCGCAACCTCCGCCTCCTGGGTTCAGGCAATTCTCCTGCCTCAGCCTCCTGAGTAGCTGGGATTACAGGCACGCGCCACCATGCCCAGCTAATTTTTTGTATTTTTAGTAGAGACGGGGTTTCACTGTGTTGACCAGGGTGGTCTTGATCTCCTGACCTCGTGATCCACCCGCCTCAGCCTCCCAAAGTGCTGGGATTACAGGCTTGAGCCACCGCGCCCGGCAAGCTGGCTAATTTTTAAATTGTTTGTAGAGACAGGGTCTTGCTTACTGCGCTGCCCAGGCTGATCTTGGAACTCCTGGCCCAAGCAATCCTCCCACCTCCGTCTCCCAAAGTGCTGGGATTACAGGCATGAGCTACTGAGTCCAGCCTCTTTTCTTTTCTCTTTTGACAGAGTCTCACTCTGTTGCCCAGGCTGGAGTGCAGTGGTGCAATCTCGGCTCACTGCAACCAGGTTCAAGCAATTCTTCTGCCTCACACTTCCAAGTTGCTGGGACTACAGGTGCATGCCACCACACCCAGCTAACTTGTATTTTCTGTAGAGATAAGGCCTCTCTCTGTTGCCCAGCTGGTCTTGAACACCTGGCCTCAAGCTATCTTCCCGCCTCAGTCTCCCACAGAGCTAGGATTACAGCATGGCCTCTCTCTATGATTAGAACTATTTTGGCATTTCTTGGCATCAATTTCTGTTTTGTTTTTTCTGTTTGTGCCTCCCTTTCTGTGTCTCTCTTTCTCATCCTTCCTCTTCCCTTTCTTATTCTCTTTTTTCATCTTGGCTCTGGCTCAGGGGGGTTGCTGTCCCTCCACTGTGTCTGTGTCTCTCATAACTGTGGATATCCTGGCCCTCTGGGCAGAAGCATGGCTGCCAGGCTGAGCAGGCTAGATATTGCCACCCAGAGGCCATCAGGGGCCCCACACTCTGATCACCCCAGAATCCCTGGAGCCCCACACCATCGAGACCACGCAGCAGCCCCATGTCCCAGCGACTCACCTAGCGACCAGTGACACGGCCATTCACGTCCATCCTCCAGAATCAGTGCCAGCTTACCCAGCTCACAGGGCAGGACGGGCCGGGCCCCTCTGTCTCCCACAACCTCGTGCCCCAGCTGGCTCCCGACATGGCTGGGAAAAGAGGCATTGTGAGGTCAAGGTCACTGGAGAGGGGCCAGCCTCCTGGACACAGCCAGACCTGCTCTCCCTGCTACCCTCAGGGAGGGCCCGCCTGAGCCTTGTGCAGTGATGACTGCCGTGGCTCCCCAGGCCTCAGGGGCTGAAGGGATTTGAAGTCATTGCCAAAGTAGCGTCCAAGGTGTGGGGTTTGCGCTTCAGGTAATCAGAGCCCAGTCGATCAAATACCTTCAGAGAATAAGCATCTGGACTCCTGGGTCTGAGGGAGGAGGGCCTGAGGGTCTGGACCCCTGGGTCTGAGGGAGGAGGGACTGGGGGTGGGACTCTTGGGTCTGAGGGAGGAGGGGACTGGGGGTCTTGATTCCTGGGTCTGACGGAGTAGCAGCTGGGGGTCGGGACCCCTGGCTCTGAGGGAGGAGGGGCTGGGGCCTGGACTCTTGTGTCTGAGGGAGGAGGCGCCTAGAGTCTGGACTCTTAGGTCTGAGGGAGGAGGGCCTGGGTCTGCACCTCTGAGCCCTGGGGGAGAGCACCTGTCAATCCCTTGGGTCTTCTAAGGCCCGTCAGCACTTGGGTCCCCAGAGGCCTTCACTTACCTGTGTGCCCTCCCTGGTCGTCATCTTGTCTGAGCTGCTCTCCAGGCTGGACCAAAGGTCTCTGGGGTGGGAGGCGCTTGCGTTTGACTTTGCCCCAGCAAGGAAGAGGGGGCTGGAACAGACTCTGCTCTCTCTAGGGAGCCCTCCTTGGGGCAGGGAGGGGACTTGTCCTCCTTCAGGACCACATGCCCCTGTCTAGAGTGGACTGGGACTGGGGCAGAGCAGGCAGGCCAGTGGGACCTCCAAGTACAGGAGGTGGCGAGCGGGCTGCGAGGGCCCCTGCTGTGCCCCACTCACCCCCTCTCTTCTTTCTCCACCCAGATCTGGGCCCGGAAACTTCTCTCTTCCCCTTGGTTCCTGTGTGGTCCCAGAAGATATGCCTCCTCCAATTTCAAGGTGAAAGGAGGGAACTCTGTGCTGGGCTCTGAGGGAGGAGGGGACTGGCAGCTGGTTTTGGGCATCTCCAAAAGGTCCACAACCCAGAGATGGCAGTGGGTGGCAGAAGCCTAATAGGCTGCCATGGGCCGTGGGAAAGAGATGAAACAGTATGTCCCAGAATCCTCCAGGGTGACAGGTCCTTCTCCATGGGTCTGGGGCCCAGGGCTTCATGGGAGTTGTAGTTTTTCAGCTTGGAGGTTGTGGCTAGATTCTAGGACACCCCCATCTTTTCTCAGGCTGCAGACCTGCAGCTGGAAATGACACAGAAGCCCCATAAGAAGCCCGGCCCCGGCGAGCCCCTGGTGTTTGGGAAGACGTTCACTGACCACATGCTGATGGTGGAATGGAATGACAAGGGCTGGGGCCGGCCCCGAATCCAGCCCTTCCAGAACCTCACGCTGCACCCAGCCTCCTCCAGCCTCCACTACTCCTTGCAGGTGGCTTGGCGGCCGGCCTCTCTCCCCGTCCCTGTCCGTGTCTCCTCCTGCTTGCTGTGTCTCTTGCCAGGTGCACCTCCCTTGGTTTGTTTGTTGCGTGTTTCTCCTTTCTGTGCGTTCATTGTCCGTTTTCTGAGGCCTTCCATGCTCCAGGGCTGTGCTCGGTGATGCTGGGTTTCCGAGATGGGCAGACCCAGTTCCTTCATTTGGAAAACCCCATGCTGTGGTTGTAACTTGGTGTGATTTGTGCTCTGACGGAGGCCCTGCAGAGGCCAGTAGAGATCCCCAGCCTCACTTGAAAGAAGGCACGGCGTCTTCTGGCATAGAGGGGATCTTAGGGTCATGACAGTAGAGGGGAGAGTTGGGGGGGATGGCAGGAGAGGGGAGAGCCAGAGGGATGTGGGAGAAGGGACAACCAGGGGGATGGCGGGAGAGGGGACAGCTGGAGGGGTGGTGGGAGAGGGGACAGCTAGTCCAAACCCCAAACAGGAGTAGAGTCTGGCACATTTGGGAGAAATTGTGGCATTGGAGCATAATGGAGGAGGCTGAAAATGTCATCAGGGTCATGGAGGAGCCGAGAGGCTAGGACCTTGTCCAAGGGCACTGGGAGCCATAGAGGGCTCTGAGGAAGGGAGGGGCAGGGCCAGGTCTGGATATAGTAAGAGCTCTCTCAGGCCATGTGGAGGACAGGAGTTGAAGGCCAGGAGGCCAGGCTGGGGCACAGGTCCAGGTGGGAGAGGATGGGCAGGTGTGGAGGTCTGAGCTGGGGCAGAGTGGGGAGGATGGGACAGGAGGGGAGGAGGCAAAGAGATTCAGGGGCACAAGGGACAGACAGGGTGGGTGGGGGAAAGGATGAGAGGGCTGGGGATGGGGCCCAGAGTTGTAGCCAGGTGACTGGGTATACCCTGGGCCTGTCCTCAAACAGGGACCCAGGAGGAGGAGTGGCCTGAGGGACTTCACAGATCCAGGAGGCATTTGGTTTTAGGACTTAGAGCTGCGGCTGAAAGCAAAGCCTTCGTGAGAAACTTTGGTTGAGATGAAATTTGAATGAGCATCTCACAGCTCCGGTAACTGGTTAGCAGTGTGGCTGGTTTCGGTCTTCCAGGGCATGGTTCTGTGGCATTAAGACTTTCATTCCGTTCTGTTCTTTCCTTTCCCTCCCCCTCCCCTTTCCTTTCTTCCTTCCTTGCCAGAATTTTAGGCTTTTGTTTTTCCCCTCTCCCCTCCTACTCTGGACATCTAATCAGTACCAGTCAATTCTGTACAGAGCACAAACCTTCAATTGCAGCCGGACACTCTGCCAGGACGTAAGCAGGACAGGCAGGATTACGCCTGCTGAGCCCCCAGGAAGGCGGTTACTTGGAGACCACCAGGCGCTTCTCCTTTCAGCCCAGCACAGCAGTCATCCTCTGGCTGGGCGTCCGGTACTTTTCCTTCAGCTGAGTGAGCGCAGAGGAAGCATGTGGCCCTGGCAGACAGAACACACTGCTGTGATCCCACGGGTCCAGGGGGCGGATGGGGATGGCTGAGGGCACAGGACAATCCCGTCCCCATGACACCCGAATCCTGGCACGTGTGCATTACAGGCCAACCACGTGTGTGCTTGTTTCTTTATTGACAGTCTCACTCTGTCTCCCAGACTGGAGTGTAGTGGTGCAGTCTCGCTCACTGTAGCCTCTGCCTCAGTCTCCCTGGTAGCTGGGCTTACAGGCATGCACCACCACGCCCAGCTAATTTTGATATTTTCAGTAGAGACAGGGTTTCAGCATGTTGGCCAGGCTGGTCTCGAACTCCTGACTTCGAGTGATCCGCCCACCTCAGCCTCCCAAAGTACTGAGATTACAGGCATGAACCACCATGCCCAGCCCTGTTTTTTATTGTTGTGGTACCAATACACATGCATAATAACACACAGCGTAAAATGTGGGATTCCAACCATTTTATTTATCATTTTATTATTTTATTTATATTTTTATTATTTATTTATTTATTTATTTATTTATTTTTGAGACGGAGTTTCGCTCTTTTTACCCAGGCTGGAGTGCAATGGCGCGATCTCGGCTCACCACAACCTCCGTCTCCTGGGTTCAGGCAATTCTCCTGCCTCAGCCTTCTGAGTAGCTGGGATTATAGGCGTGCACCACCATGCCCAGCTAATTTTTTTGTATTTTTAGTAGAGACGGGGTTTCACCATGTTGACAAGGATGGTCTCGATCTCTTGACCTCGTGATCCACCCGCCTCGGCCTCCCAAAGTGCTGGGATTACAGGCTTGAGCCACCGCGCCCGGCCTATTTTTATTATTTTTTGAGATGGAGTGTCACTCTTGTTCTCCGGGCTGGAGGGCAGTGGCACCATCTCGGCTCCCTGCAACCTTCACTTCCCAGGTTCAGGCAATTCTCCTGCCCCAGCCTCCAAGTAGCTGGGACTACAGGAGCATACCACCACACCCAGCTAATTGTTGTGTTTAGCAGAGACGGGGTTTCACCATGTTGCGCCAGGCTGTTCTCGAACTACTGACCTCAGGTGATCCACCTGCCTCGGCCTCCCAAAGTGCTGGGATTACAGGCATGAGCCACCATGCCTGGCCTATTATTTTTTTAAAAATACTTTTATTTATTCATTTATTCATCTGAGACAGTTTCACTCTGTTGCCCAGGCTCCAGTGCAGTGACGTGATCTTGGCTCACTGCAACTTCCCCCTCCTAGGCTCAAGTGATCCTCCTGCCTCAACCTCCCGAGTGGCTAGGACTACAGGCACACATTACCTTGCCCAGCATATTTTTAAATCTTGTGCAGAGACAGGCTCTCCCTTTGTTGCCCAGGCTGGTCTTGAACTCCTGGCTTCAAGCAATTCTCCCACCTCAGCCTCCCAGTGCTGGGGTTACAGGTATGAGCCTCCTACCAGGCTTGGAAATTCTTCTTTATACCCTTAAAGAGCTTTTTCCATGTTTCTTTCAGCCTCAGGGTGTTTCATCCTCACAGTGCACCTCATTAGGCAATCGCCTATTGTTGGACTTCTTTCCAGTCTGATACTATTATGAAATATGTTGCAATAAATAATCTAGTATTCGGGTCACTTTCTTTAGGTGCAAGTGTATCTCTCTGCTCCATTTCGGTAGCTGTAGGTCAAAGGGCACGTTTGCTCTTAATCTTGACAGGTATTGCCACATCCACATCTTGCAGGATGCATCAGTTTCTACACTGGCTGGCAGAGCCTGTTTCCATACCTTGGACAGCCCTTGTCAAAGTTTTAGATCTTTTCCAGTCTCCCATGTGATTTTAAAGGGCCCTCAAAGTAATTTTAATTTGCATTTTTCTCCCTAATGATGAATGAAACTGACCATCTTCTCATCAGCTTAAGGCCCACCTATGTTTCCTTTTGTGTGAACTGTCCATTTGCTAGGCTGATTTTCCTATCAGGTTGGATTTTTTTTTTTTTTTTTTTTTTTGAGGCGGGGTTTCACAGCATTAGCCAGGATGGTCTCTATCTCCTGACCCCATGATCTGCCTGCCTCAGCCTCCCAAAGTGCTGGGATTACAGGCATGAGCCACCGTGCCTGGTCCAGGTTGGATTTTCAAAAATTGATTTGGGGCTTGGATTACAGGTGACTAACACCTGTAATCCTAGCAATTTGGGAAGAAGAGGCAGGGGGATTGCTTGAGCTCAGGAGTTCAAGACCAGCCTGGCCAACATGGCAAAACCCCGTCTCTACTAAAAATACAAAAATTAGCTGGGCATAGTGGTGGGTGTCTGTAATCCCAGCTACTCGGGAGGCTGAGGCAAGAGAATTGCTTGAACCTGGGCGGCAGAGGTTGCAGTGAGCTGAGAGCATGCCAGTGCACTCCAGCCTGGCCACAGAGTGAGACTCCATCTCAAAAAAAAAAAAAAAAAAAAAAAATTAGCTTGGGTATGGTGTGTGTGTGTGCCTGTAGTCCCAGCTACCTGGGACGCTGATGTAAGAGGACTGCTTGAGCCCAGGACTTTGAGGTTGCAGTGAGCTATGATTGCACTACTCCAGCACTCCAGCCTGGGTGACAGAGACCCTGTCTCTAGAAAGGAAAATTGATTTGTAGGGCATTTTGTATATTCGACAAAGCATTTGTGATACGAGTTGAGAAATTTTCTCTATTGTGTTTTGTTTTTATGCAATCAGCTGTATCACTCTTCTTTTTTGGTTCTATGATTTGTCATCAGAAAAAACAAACAAACAAACAAACAAACAAACAAAAAACCCAGGCCAGGTGTGGCAGCTCATGCCTGTAATCCCAGGATTTTGGGAGACTAAGGCAGGCGGATCACTTGGGGTCAGGAGTTCGAGACCATCCTGGCCAACATGGTGAAACCCCATCTCTATTAAAAATGCAGAAATTGGCCGGGCGCGGTGGCTCAAGCCTGTAATCCCAGCACTTTGGGAGGCCGAGGTGGGCGGATCACAAGGTCAAGAGATCGAGACCATCCTGGTCAACATGGTGAAACCTCGTCTCTACTAAAAATACAGCCGGGCGCAGTGGCTCAAGCCTGTCATCCCAGCCCTTTGGGAGGCCAAGGCGGGTGGATCACAAGGTTAAGAGATCGAGACAATCCTGGTCAACATGGTGAAACCCCATCTCTACTAAAAATACAAAAAATTAGCTGGGCATGGTGGCGTGTGCCTGTAATCCCAGCAACTCAGGAGGCTGAGGCAGGAGAATTGCCTGAACCCAGGAGGTGGAGGTTGCGGTGAGCCGAGATTGCGCCATTGTACTCCAGCCTGGGTAGCAAGAGCAAAACTCCGTCTCAAAAAAAAAAAAAAGAAAAGAAAAGAAAAGAAAGAAAAATACAAAAAATTAGCTGGGCATGGTGGTGCGTGGCTGTAATCCCAGCTACTCAGGAGGCTGAGGCAGGAGAATTGCCTGAACCCAGGAGGCGGAGGTTGCGGTGAGCCGAGATCGTGCCATTGCACCCCAGCCTGGGTAACAAGAGCGAAACTCTGTCTCAAAAAAAAAAAAAGCAAAAATTAGCCAGTCATGGTGGTGCATGTCTGTAGTTTCAGCTACTAGGCAGGCTGAGGCAGGAGAATCGCCTGAACCCTGGAGGTGGAGGTTGCAGTGAGCTCAGATAATGCACTTCAGCCTGGGCGACAGAGTGAGACTCCATCTCAAATAAAATAAAATAAAAAATAAAATAATGGCCGGGCGCGGTGGCTCAAGCCTGTAATCCCAGCACTTTGGGAGGCCGAGGCGGGTGGATCACGAGGTCAAGAGATTGAGACCATCCTGGTCAACATGGTGAAACCCTGTCTCTACTAAAAAATACAAAAAATTAGCTGGGCATGGTGGCGTGTGCCTGTAATCCCAGCTACTCAGGAGGCCGAGGCAGGAGAATTGATCTTTTGACCTCGTGATCCACCTGCCTAGGCCTCCCAAAGTACTGGGATTACAAGCTTGAGCCACCACGCCTGGCCTTGTGGTGGTTGTTTTTATCCCCCCAAAATATCCTAGCTACTTTTGCTTGTCTTCCATTCTTCATCCATTCATTTAGCTATTCATTCATCAAAAACCCACTATGCAAAAAAAAAAAAAAGAAGTCTGACGGGGTGCAGTGGCTCATGCCTGTAATCCCAGCACTTTGAGAGGCTGAGGCAGGTGGTTCAACTAAAAATACAAAAATTAGCTGGGTGTGGTGGTAGGCATCTGTAATCCCAGCTACTCAGGAGGCTGAGGCATTAGAATCACTTGAACCTGGGAGTTGGATGTTGCAGTGAGCCGAGATTGTGCCAGTGCACTCCAGCCTGGGTGACAGAGTCAGCCCCTCTCTCAAAAAACAAAACAAAAACCCACTGTGTGCCAAGCGTTACCTACGCTGGTGCAGGGGACTGTAGGAGAGGCTGTCTGATAAGCATGTCAAGGGTGATCCGTGCCCTAAGGCTCTTCCACTGTGTGGTAGAGCAGATGCTGAACGAGCAAACCTGGAACCATGGGGCAGTGATCAGGGACAGACTCTCCGGAAAGAAAAAACTAGGTCCCAGGCAGGAGTGCAGTGGCAGGATCACGGCTCACTGCAGTCTCAACTCCTGGGCTCAAGTGATCCTCCCACCACCTTCTTGGTACCTAGGACTACAGTCACACCTGGCTAATTTTCACAGTTTTGTGGAGATGGGATCTTGCTATAATGCCCAGGCTGGTCACAAACTATGCTCAAGTGATCCTCCTGCCTTGGCCGCACCAAAATGCTGGGATTACAGATGTGAGTCACCGGCACTACTGCCTGTTGGCTACAATCTGGTTTCTCAAACACAAGACCCCTTAGAAAACATAGCTTCCAGGCCTGGGCATGGTGGCTCATGCTTGTAACCCCAGCACTATGGGAGTTGGAGGCCAGCCTAACCCACGTGGTAAAACCCCATCTCTACTAAAAATACAAAAATTAGCTGGGCGTGGTGGCATGTGCCTGTAATCCTAGTTACTCAGGAGGCTGAGGCAGGAGAATTGCTTGAATCTGGGGGGCGGAGGTTGCAGTGAGCTGAGATAGTACCAGTGCACTTGAGCCCGGGAGTTTGAGCCTGGGTGACACACTGAGACTCCGTCTCAAAAACAAAACAAAACAAAAAAAAAACATAGCTTCCATATGATTATCATCCCTGAAAAATGTTCACAGTGACCTGGAAAGGGTTCAAGCTGGGCATTGTCTCTGGGTCTCCCTGTTCCACCATCTCTGGTTTCTGTCCTTTGCTTTCTTTTTTTTGAGACTGAGTCTTGCTCTGTTGCCAGACTGGAGTGCAGTGGCGCGATCTCGGCTCACTGCAACCTCTGCCTCCCAGGTTCAAGCAGTTCTCCTGCCTTGGCCTCCTGAGTAGCTGGGATCATAGGCATGCACCACCACACCTGGCTAATTTTTGTATGTTTAGTAGAGATGGAGTTTTCACCATGTTTGCCAGGCTGGTCTTGACCTCCTCCTGACCTCAGGTCATCTACCTGCCTCAGCCTCCCGAAGTGCTAGGATTACAGGCATGAGCCACTGCGCTGGGTCGTGTCCTTTGCTTTCTAGAGTCTCTGTGTGTCTCTACCTGTTTGTCTCTCTGTCTATATCTCTCTCTTTTTCTCCATCTGTGATCCCAGCTGTTAACGTTTCCCCAGGGCTCTCCTCTCGGCCTCCATCTCTCGGTATCTGTGTCTCTGTGTATCCGTCTCTGGGTGTCTCTTGGTGTCTCTCCTGACTGTCTGGGGAGGTCTCTGAGCCTCCTGCCTGCCTGTCCCCGCAGCTGTTTGAGGGCATGAAGGCATTCAAAGGCAAGGACCAGCGGGTGCGCCTCTTCCGCCCCTGGCTCAACATGGACCGGATGCTGAGCTCAGCCCTGCGCCTCTGCCTGCCGGTGAGGGGGTCCTGGGCCCCTGCGGTGGGGAGGAGGGCCGGGGCCGGGGCAGCCAGGGCCCCTCGACTCATCCGGAATCCCACCCAGGGTTTCGACAAGCTGGAGTTGCTGGAGTGCATCCGGCGGCTCATCGAAGTGGACAAGGACTGGGTCCCCGATGCTGCCGGCACCAGCCTCTATGTGCGGCCTGTGCTTATCGGGAACGAGGTAGGCCCGACTCCGGGGCTGGGGAACTGGGCTGCGGGGCTTGAATTCTGCCTGGCAGGGGTGGGATCCTGGAGGCCTGAGTCAGGGGAGGGGAAGGGACTGGGGGCCTGGACTCCTGACGTGGCCCCTCTGCCCATCGCAGGCTTCGCTGGGCGTCTCCCGTGCCACGAGAGCGCTCCTGTTCGTCATTCTCTGCCCTGTGGGCTCTTACTTCCCTGGAGACGCCATGACCCCGGTCTCCCTTCTGGCCGACCCAGCCTTCATCCGGGCCTGGGTGGGTGGGGTCGGCAACTACAAACTAGGGGGGTAAGTAGCACCCCCAACCCCAGAACCCACTGGCGCACTGGGTGTCGGAGACACAGGGACTAGTGTGCGAACTTTGATTGTGCCTCTGGAAGTCCACTGCCCGCGCTTCACCTGAAGGTGGCGTCATCGGCACCTGTGGGGCTCGGTGCCAAGTGCTGTGCCCTCCCCTCCTCCCTGGTCTCTGAAAACACACCATGGAAGGCAGGAGGAGGGAGTTATTTTCCAGATGGGCAAAAAGGCTCACAGATGGGAAGGGACTGAGTGGAGGTCCCCGGGAAGCCTCCAGGAATGAAGCTTACACTCAGCTCTTGGTCTCTCCTCCAGAAGGCTTCCCTGAACCCCCCATACCCAGCTCCCACAGTGGGTTTGAGCCTCCAAAGCCCCTCAACCCAGCTTGCACTTTCTGTGTAAATCTGTCTCCCCAGTGGGCTCGGCTCGGCAGGGCAGGGAGGAGGCAGCTGGGTCTCCTGGGCAGCCAAGGCAGAGGATAGGCACTGGCATGTCGGGGCAGGAATGTGGCCCCAGCGCGGGGTTCGTTCAGGTCCTTTCAGCACATCCTGTGCGGTCTCCCTGAGGGCCAGGCCCTGCAGCTGGCAGAAGCTGGGGACACAGGTGAGTCAACCCCCGAGCCGCAGGGGCCCCCAGGCTGGTGGGAGCCCCAATATTTGGAGCTGCATGTTTTCTGGTGAGGTGACGGGCGTTGTGAAAGGCTTCACAGAGGAGGCACCCCTTCAGCTAGGTCTGATACGGAGGTGAGGGTGGGGTGGTTCCTGGGTACAAAAGTCACCAAATTTTCTTTTTTTGGAGACGGAATCTAACTTTGTCGCCAGGCTGTAGTGCAGAGGTGCCATCTCAGCTCACTGCAACCTCCGACTCCCTGGTTCAAGCAATTCTTCTGACTCAGCCTCCCAAGTAGCTGAGGTTATAGGCACCCGCCAGCACACCCAGCTAATTTTTTTTGCATTTTTAGTAGAGATGGAGTTTCACCATGTTGGCCAGGACGGTCTCGATCTCCTGACCTCGTGATGTGCCCGCCTCGGCCTTCCAAAGTGCTGAGACTACAGACGTGAGCCACCACGCCTGGCAAAAGTCAGCAAACTTTCTAATACTGGGGACCATGTGTACAGGGACAGAAGGAATAGGATCACAGAAGATGTTCAAGTTACAAAAATAAGTCTGGGTTTTGCAAAAGCAGGCCTGGAACACCGGATGGAGGCTAGGGTCTTGTCCCCAGGCACTGGGGAGCCATGGGAGGCTTGTTAGCAGGTGAGAGGAGAGGCAGTCTCTGGGAGAGAGACACAAAGTCATCCAGGTAGACCAATTCACTGGGGGAGTCCAGGGAAGTTCTGGCACCCAGCCTGGAGGTCTGGAAGCACCTCTCGAGGAGGTGACATCAGAAGTGGTTTTGGGGACGAACACGGTGACTCACACCTGTAATCCCAGCACTTGGGAGGCCAAGGTGGGTAGATCACTTGAGGTCAGGAGTTTGAGACCAGTCTGGTCAACCCTGTCTCTACTAAAAATAAAAAAAATTAAGGCCTGGTGTGGTGGCTCATGCCTATAATCCCAGCACTTTGGGAGGCTGAGGTGGGGAGTCACCTGAGGTCGAGAGTTTGAGACCAGCCTGACCAACATGGTGAAACCCCTTCTCTACTACAAATACAAAAATCAGCCAGGCGTAGTGGTGCACGCCTGTAATCCCAGCTACTTGGGAGGCTGAGGCAGGAGAATTGCTTGAAACCTGTAGACGGAGGTTGCAGTGAGCTGAGATTATACCACTGCACTCTAGCCTGGGTGGCAGAGCGAGACTCCATCTCAAATTAAAAAAAAAGAAAAAGGGAGTAGAGGCAGGAGAGAGGGGACATCCCACCTAGGGCCTTGATGCCAAATGAAATGTCAGGAATTCCGTCGTTGGGGAACTGGGGAGCCCCAGGATTGCTGTGAGTGGGGGGACAGGAGCAGGATGAGCCTTCTCTGGGGCTGGGTTGGGGAAGGATGGGGCTCCCTTGCACCGCCCAACCAGGCTGCCCCCCTCCAGGAATTATGGGCCCACCGTGTTAGTGCAGCAGGAGGCATTCAGGCGGGGCTGTGAACAGGTCCTCTGGCTGTACGGGCCCGACCACCAACTCACCGAGGTGGGCACCATGAACATCTTCGTCTACTGGACCCACGAGGATGGGGGTGAGCCTACCCATGACCCAGCCCAAGCCCTGGTAGAAGTGGGTGGCATCATCATTCCTGGCAGGTTACAGGCCCCAGGGATGCTGGGATGTGGGAAGGGGGTGGCTCCTAAGATGGGGGATCTAGGGGGTGAGAGGTAACATCTCCCACCCTGCACACCTGCCCTAGTGCTGGAGCTGGTGACGCCCCCGTTGGATGGCGTCATCCTGCCTGGAGTGGTCAGACAGAGTCTGCTGGACCTGGCTCAGACCTGGGTGAGGACATGGCGTCTTCTGGTGATGGCACCGTGTGCAAGGGGCCAGGGCATCAGAGGGCTATGGCAGGGACTGGGGCACACTGGCATGTCTCTGTCCCCTCTCCTGGGTCTGTCTCTCCCCTTGGGCCTCTGTCTTTCTCACCACCCTGAGGGAGGGAAGGAGAGGTGGCGGACTGCAGCAGGCCGCCCTCTGGGGACATGTGTGTCTCTGCCACCTGCCCTGCAGGGTGAGTTCCGGGTGGTGGAGCGCACCATCACCATGAAGGAGTTGCTTCGGGCCCTGGAGGAGGGCCGGGTGCGGGAAGTCTTTGGCTCAGGCACTGCCTGCCAGGTCTGCCCAGTACACAGAATCCTGTACAAAGACAAGGTGAGATGGGGCTGCCATTGTGGGTGGGAGGGAAGGAGGGGAGGGGCTCCATCCTCACTGCACCTTCTGTCCCAGAACTACCATATTCCCACCATGGAAAATGGGCCTGAGCTGATCCTCCGCTTCCAGAAGGAGCTGAAGGAGATTCAGGTGAGCTACAGGGAGCCGGGGAATGGGCCGAGAGTCAGGGACTGGGCTGGGAGCTCGTTTCGTGGAGAAGTTGGTGTCCCATGAGCCCCTGGACTAAGAGCCAGCCTCCTTGAGTAAAACAGGAACAGATAATGGCCTTTCTTTCCTTTTTTTCCCCCTGAGATGGAATCTTGCTCTGTTGCCCAAGCTGGAGTACAGTGGTGTGGTCTTGGCTCACTGCAACCTCCACCTCCCAGGTTCAAACGATTCTCCTGCCTCAGCCTCCTGAGTAGCTGGGATTACAGGCATGCACCACCACACCCAGCTAATTTTTGTATTTTTAGTAGAGATGGAATTTTGCCATGGTGGCCAGGCTGGTCCTAATAATGGCCCCCTTTTATTTTTATTTCTTTGAGATGGAGTCTCACTCTGTCACTCAGGCTGGAGTGCAGTGGCACGATCTCGGCTCACTGCAACCTCCAGCTCATGGGTTCAAGCGATTCTCCTGCCTCAGCCTCCCAAGTAGCTGGCACTACAGGCTCACGCCACCATGCCCAGCTAATTTTTTGTATTTTGGTAGAGACGGGATTTAACTATGTTAGCCAGGATGGTCTCCATCTCCTGACCTCATGATCTGCCCACCTTGGCCTCCCAAAGTGCTGGGATTACAGGCATGAACTACCACGCCTGGCCTAATGGCCCTTCTTATTGAGGCCCGGGCGAGCGGGCTTTTTATTGTTGCTCTGTGCCCTGGAAAACGCTTTGGGGCTAAATCACCCTTTCCTGTGAGCTCCCGGAGCCCTGAATAGTTCTTCAGCTTTGAAAACCCCCTCCCATGATCCTCTGCAGTCCCTGGGTGTCCTGGTGGGAGATACTCCCTCCCTGTGGACCTCTGAGGTTGCTGGATACCCTGGTGGGAGAAACCCCCTCCGTGTGATCCTCTGCTACCTCTGGGTGTCCTGGTGGGAGAAAGGCCCTTTCCATGAATCTCTGAGACCTTAGCCAGCCCTCTGGCCATCTCAGGTCAGCCCTCGTAGATTCCCTAGAGCCCTGGGCTATCCCTTTGGTTTGAGAAAGCTTCCTCCCATGAGCCTCTGGACCTTGGCACCTCTCTGGCACCAGACTATTTCCTCTCATAAGCCTCTGGGGGCGTTCCCGTTCTGGGCCAAAATCTCTTCCCCAAGAATCTCTGGGCTCCTTTCCCGGACCTAGAGCTAAATTTCTGTAAACAACTGTGCATCAGCCAGTAGAACTAACTACACATCCCCCCACTATCTGGGCTTTCTCAGCCGAAAGTGACTTTTTCCAAGAGCCTTAGAGGCCTGGCCATAATTCCTCTCTTTAGAACTACCTGTCCCTGAAGCCTCTACGCCATCTTAGCCATGATTCCTGGTTCCCATCGTTGTTGGGGTGGAGTGGGGGGTGGGGGTGGGGGTGGGGTGCCTCTGGGAAGTGGACTACATTTCCCTTGAGGCGCCAGGGCACAGCTCCGTAGGTACTCGGCCTGGGACACCCCAGGGCCTGCTGGGAGTTGTAGTGCGGCTTCCACCTCATGCACTGCCTGTTGTCCCGCAGTACGGAACGAGAGCCCACGAGTGGATGCTCCTGGTGTGATGCTGCGTGCTGTGCTCCGGATCCACCGACCCGTAGCATCTCATCACGCCAGCACTCGCCTCCCTACCAATGACTCACCTCAAGTGCAATATAAAATAAAAGGCCAGGGGGTGGTGTTTGGGTCTCTGGCGCCCCCCATGTGGTTGTAACACTCCCAAAGCCAGAAGGGCCAACCCGGGCATCTTGGCCTGCAGCCCCTCATCTTGGGTTCAGGTCCGCCCTGTTGCTCCTTGTGAGGCCAAGGATACACCTTGCCCGACCCCTTATCTCTCCGTTCTCAGGCCAGACCCCCGGTGCTGCCGTTGATTTTTTTTTTCTTTCTCTTTGCTGCAATTTTGAAATAAAATGCCAAAGAACAGACATTGTCAGGCTTCTTCGGTGATGCAGCTCTGGGGTCTTAACACAGGAATCCTGCTCCCTCAGCCCATTTTATTCTGAAGGACCCAGTCATCTGAGCCTCCAGTGTTTTGATGGTTTCTCCAACCTGCAGGAGCTTTCACGTCTCCCACCCTGAGCTTAGTATCTCCCCCAACCAACCAGCTCCTCCCCGACTTTCCCATTTTGGGGACAGCCCCACCCTGCACCCAGTGACTGGGCTGGACCCCTAGGCGCTGCATCCTTTCCTCTCAAAGACCCCAGGCCCCGATCCCTGCCCCCTGACTCTGCTGTCTGTTCCCCCCATTTTTTTTTTTTTTTTTTTGAGACAGAGTCTTGTTCTGTCACCCAGAGTGGAGTGCAATGGTGCCATCTTGACTCATTGCAACCTCTGCCTCTTGGGTTCAAGCAGTTCTCCAGCCTCAGAGTCCTGAGTAGCTAGGACTACAGGCATGTGCCACCATGCCTGGCTAATTTTTGTATTTTTAGTAGAGATGGGGTTTCCCTGTATTAGCCAGTATGGTCTCGATGTCCTGACCTCGTGATCCACCCGCCTCCCAAAGTGCTTGTATTTCAGGCGTGAGCCACCGTGCCTGGCCCGTTCCCCCCATCTTTGTCCCCTAGGCCCTGACCTCAGCTCAGCTCTTGTCTTCAACTGGCACCCTTTTCCCAGCCTGCAGTTTGTGCCCTACCTGGCCCAAAAGGTCTTTCTACGCCCAAACCTTGCCCAGTCCCTTCAGCCAGGACTACAGTCAGGGTACCCTAGTGGGTATGGTGTGAGGCACAATACTCTCACTTGCTGGAGGGATTAAACATGGAAAAGTTAGCCTGATACAGTGGCTCATGCCTGTATTCCCATCACTTTGGGAGGCTGAGGTGGGCAGATCACCTGAGGTTGGGAGTTCGAGACCAGCCTGGCCAACACGGTGAAACCCCATCTCTACTAAAAACACAAAAATAAGCCAGGTGTAGTGGCATATGCCTGTAATCCCAGCTGCTCGGGAAGGCTGAGGCAGGAGAATTACTTAAAACTGGGAGGTTGGGACTGCAGTGAGCTGAGATCGTACCATTGCACGTCAGCCAGGGCAACAAGAGTGAAACTCCGTCTCAAAAACAAACAAAAAACATGGAAAAGCTTAGACCTGGTGCAGTAACTCGCAGCTGCAATTCTAGTGCTTTGGAGGCTGAGGTGGGAGGATTGCTTGAGTCCATGAGTCGGAGACTAGCCTGGGCAGCATTCGTGAGATCCCGTCTGTACACAAAATTCACCAGGCGTGGTGGCATGTGAATATAGTTCCAGCTACTCCAGAGGCTGGGGTTGGAGAATTGCTTGAGTTCAGGAGTCTGAGACTAGCCTGGGCAGCATTCGTGTGATCCCATCTGTACAAAAAATTAACCAGGCGAGGGGGCATGTGAATATAGTTCCACCTACTCCAGAGGCTGAGGTGGGAGGACTGCTTGAACCTGGGAGGTCAAGGCTGCAGTGAGCTGCGATTGTGCCACCACACTCTAACCTGGGTGACGGCAAGAATGTCTTAAAAAAAAAAAAATAAAATAAAGATCAGGCACTGGGGCTCATGCCTGTAATCCCAGCACTTTGGGAAGCCAAGGCAGGTGGATCACCTGAGGTCAGGAGTCGAGACCAGCCTGGCCAATGTGGTGAAACCCCGTCTCTACTAAAAATATAAAAATCAGCCAGGCTCACGGTGGTGGGCACCTGTAATCCCAGCTACTTAGGAGGCTGAGATGGGAGAATCGCTTTAATCTGGGAGGCAGAGTTGCACTGAGCTGAGATCGAGCCATTGCACTCCAGCCTGGGTGACAGGAGCAAAACTCAGTCTCAATAAATAAATAAAATCAATTAAAAAATTAAAATTAAAATACAAAAAATAGCCGGGCGTCATGATTCATGCCTATAATCCCAGCTACTTGGGAGGCTGAGACAGGAGAATCTCTTGAACCCAGTGGGGCAGAGGTTGTAATGAGCTTAGATTGTGCTACTGCACTCCAGCCTGGGTGACAGAGCAAGACTCTGTCTCAAAAAGAAAATAAAAATAATAAAATTTAAAAAGATTTCACAAGGACCACCTCTACATCCATATATACACACACACACACATATATACACACACACACACACACACACACAGATATATATATATATAGGCTGGTGTACAGTGACACAAATCAGTGTACTGCAGTTTGAGTCTGGGTTTGTGTTTGAGTTGCAACCTTGACCTCCCAGACTCAAAACAATTCTCTCACCTCAGCCTCCCAAGTAGCTGGAATCGCAGGCATGTGCCACTATGCCTGCCTAATGTTTAAATTTTTTTTTTTTTTTTTTTTTAAGATGGGGTTTCACCATGATGGCCAGGCTGGTCTTGAACCCCTGACCTCGGGTTATCCACCCACCTTGGCCTCCCAAAGTGCTAGGATTACAGGTGTGAGCCACTGCACCCAGCCATAAATTTTTTTGTAGAGGCAGGATTTCAATATGTTGCCCAGGCAGGTCTCAAACTCCTGGGCTCAAGCTGAGATTACAGGTGTGAGTCACTGCACCAGGCCCAATGTTATTATTTTTATTTTTTTGTAGAGACAGGGTCCCATTATATTGCGTAGGCTGATCTCGAACGATCTTCCCATCTTGACCTCACAAAGTGCTGAGATTGCAGGCGCAAGCCACTATGTCCAGCCTGAGACTGTCATCAATGATCTTTTTTCCCTTTTTCCTTTTCTAGACCAGGTACAATGTAATCTATTATTATTATTACTATTACTATTATTATTATTATTATTATTATTATTATTATTATTATTATTGTTAGAGACGGGTCTTACTCTATTGCCCAGACTGGAGTGCAGTGGCGCAGTCTTGGCTCACTGCAACTTCTATCTCCTGGGTTCAGGCGATTCTTTTGTTTCAGCCTCCAGAGTAGCTGGTATTACAGGTGTCCACCACCACTCACGGCTAATTTTATTTTATTTTATTTTATTTTTGGTATTTTCAGTAGAGACAGAGTTTCATCATGTTGGCCAGGCTGGTCTGGAACTCCTGACCTCAGGTGATCTGCCCGCCTCGACCTCCCAAAGTGCTGAGACCACACTTGGCTAATTTTGTATTTTTAGTAGAGATGGGGTTTCTCCATGTTGGTCAGGCTGGTCTTGAACTCCCGACCTCAGGTGATCCGCCTGCCTTGGCCTCCAAAGTGCTTGGATTACAGGTGTGAGCCACTGTGCCTGGTCAACTGTGTTTTCTTTTGTTTTTAAGACATTCTTGCTCTGTCATCCAAACAAAGAAACCTGGTAAATATTGGACCCTACCTTTCCTACTGAAAAATGTAAATTAAAATGAATAAAAATAAAATAATAAATCTAGGTAAATAAATCTCAACTGTAGCAATAACCCAGCCACAGCATGCTATGCTTCAGGCAATGCTGTGATGTGTCTGCAGCGCCATCTGGTGTTCAGGGTTGAGTATAAAATCAAAGGCAAAAAAGGAGAGGGCCGAGCACGGTGGCTCATGCCTGTAATCCCAGAGCTTTGGGAAGCTGAGGTGGGAGGATTGCTTGAGGCCAGGAGTTCGAGACCAGCCTGGCCAACATAGCAATACCCTGTCTCTAAAAAAAAAAAAAAAAAAAAAAAAAAAATTTACCAATATGACACAGTAATTCCACTCCTAGGTATATACCAAAAATAATTAAAAACAAAAACAGATATTCAAACAAAATTTAGTATATGAAAGTACATAGCAGTATTATTTATAATAGCCCAAATGTGGAACCAACCCAAATGTCCACCCAGATGAATGGTCAAATAAAATGCAGTGCATCCACATGACACAATGTTATTCAGCCTTAAAAAGGAATGAAGGCTGGGCATGGTGGCTCACACCTGTAATCCCAGCACTTTGGGAGGTCAAGGCAGGTGGATCAGCTGAGCTCGAGAGTTCAAGAGCAGCCTGACCAACATGGAGAAACCCCATCTCTACTAAAAATACAAAATTAGCTGAGTGTGGTGATGCATGCCTGTAATCCCAGCTACTTGGGAGGCTGAAGCAGGAGAATTCCTTGAACCTGGGAGGCGGAGGTTTCAGTGATCCGAGATCACTCCATTGCACTCCAGCCTGGGCAACAAGAGCAAAACTCTGTCTCAAAAAAAAAAAAAAAGGAATTGAAACATTGACAGGCCTTAAATGAGCCTTGGAAACATTAAGTGAAAGAAGCCAGTCACAAAGGCTACATACTGTAGGATTTAAATTTTTTTTTTTTTTGGGGGGGACAAAGTCCTGCTCTGTCCCCAGGCTGGAGTACAGTGCCGCAATCTCAGCTCATTGCAACCTCTGCCTCCCAGGTTCAAGTTATTCTCCTGCCTCAGCCTCCTAAGTAGCTGGGACTACAGGCATGAGCCACCATACCCAACTAACTTCTGTATTTTTAGTAGAGACGGGGTTTCACCATATTGGCCAATATGGTCTCGATCTCTTGACCCCATGATCAGCCCACCTTGGCCTCCCACAGTGCTGGGATTACAGGTGTGAGCCACTGCACCTATCCATATTGTAGGATTTTATTTATGTGAAATCTCCAAAGCAGATAAATGTACCGGGAGCAGTGGCTTACACATGTAATCTCGGCACTTTGGGAGGCTGAGGTGGATGGATTACCTGAGGTCAGGAGTTCAAGACCAGCCTGGCCAACATCGTGAAACCCCGTCTCTACTAAAAATACAAAAATTAGCCAGGGGTTTTGTTTTTTTGTGTGTGTGGCGATGCACACCTGTAGTCCCAGCTACTCAGGAGGCTGAGGCAGGAGAATCATTGAACCCAGGAGGCGGAGGTTGCGGTTAGCTGAGATGGCACCACTGCACTCCAGCCTGGGCGACAGAGCGAGGAGAATTCATCTCTAAACAAACAAATTAGCTGGGGTTGGTGGTGTGTGCCTATAGTCCCAGCTACTTGGGCAGCTGAGGGGGGAGAATCGTTTGAGC